TTCGTCAGGGACATGACGAGGATGTATAGCTTGTGGGGTGTATCTGGTATCTGACGGGTGTATCTGGTGTATTTGACGGTCGTCGTGGAGATGTGCGTGGTTCGGTGGGGAGGCATACAGCGTGGCGTCTGGCACCACGGACGTCTACGTCTTATACGGCCTGCTGGGGTCATAGAACGCAGACCTTGGCGAGGCGTCATCCTGTGGTGTTTGGTAGGATTGGCGTGTGTCTGGCGAGACTGGTGTCTAGTGGAAATGCATGTCCGACCCAACCGGCGCTTACCTGGGGCAGAGGCCTCGTACCTGGCGCATCGGCTGCGGTGCGCGATTTCGCTTTTGACGTCTGACAATTGCCATCTGACAACTGACGTCCGGCAATCGACGTTCTACATGCGATGCGTGGCGGTTGACGTTTTGTCACACGATGCCTCACAATTGACTATGGCACAATTGGCATCCAACATGGGACGCCTGTCAGTCGCCCTTGCTATTTAGCTTGCAGGGCGACCGTCGCCTGTCGCCGCGGCGCAAGGGATGCTCCCACTTCTCACAACCCAGTGCCCGATGCCCAATGGCGCCCCACACCAAGACGATGAAGTTCCTCCTCCTTTTCCCTCTCGTCCACGCCGGCGTGCTGGCCCTGCACAACGGCCCCTGCATCTGCATGTCGAGTCCCGTCGTCGCCCTCGAGGCCGGCCGGTCGGTGGTGTCTGCCGAGTACGTTGGTTCGTTCGCGTGGAGCGGTGCCGTGTGCGATGCAGCATGCAGCGTGTGATGCAGCACGCAGCGAGTGATGCTGTTGGTGTGACCGTTGGCGCGATGCTGCTCGATGATGTGGTGTGGTGTGGTGTGGTGTGGTCTGCTGCTAACCGCGGCTTCTAGTGTTGAGGACGCGCTGGATCGACGGTGCGGGGCCACCCTCCAATTTGAGAATCCGGACTTCCTCCCCGTCAACTACGCCTTCGAGGCCATAGCCTGCTCGGGTCGCAGGGTCGCCAGCTTCGGGGTGCCGACAGGGGCGCCCAACGGCGATGCACACATTACATGGTAGGATGGCGCACCTGCATGCCCAGCTGGTCACGCTCGGGCGAGACGGGCGAGACGGGCGACGAGACGGGCGACGAGACGGGCGACGAGACAGACGGAGGCGCGCTAACGCGTTCTTAGGCAATGCGCGGGATTACCGCCAACGTGCTCTCACGCCACGATCTCCGGGGGTCGCGGGGGATCCCAGCCTGGCACTGGCGAATGTCGGCAGGATCGGGTGCGTGTCGGAGTCGGTGGTGACGCGGAGCTCGCTGGCGACGATCGTGCGGTCGTCGACGACGTTTGTCTCGACGGTGCCGACGCTGGTGACGCAGACGACGACCGACTTTCGCGACGCGTCTAGCAGCGCGCCGGGCTCAAGCAACGCAATGACCACGACCAGCGCGGAAGGTTCGGCGCCCGAGTCAGACGGCGCGCCACCAACGGGGGCGACGCTGTCGGGGTCGGGATCGCTGGCGTTGGCGACTTCCACAACAGGATTGCAAGCATCGCCAACAGCGAGCCACTCCTCGACCAGAACGGGGCAATCTTCGGCGGCCGCATCGACGACATCGGCTGGTGCGCCCCTGGACGGACAGACCCCGCCCGGCGCGCAAGCGAGCCTGCCTCCGGCGGACGAGTCGTCGTCGCTCTTCCAGGTGAGCATGGCGTCCAAGGTCGTGCCATCGCCGGGGCTGACTGTGGTCGCCACGGTTGTGTCGACGTTGGTGTCGACCATGACCGTCGTCCAGACCTTGACGGCCAGCTGCTCCGCGAAGGCGTGAGTGCGATGCTCGACCTGGTATATGTGACGGTAAGCCAATGTCATCAAACTATATAAGTTGTCGACCCGGCGTGGTCGGCTTTCTGTCCTGGGTGATTGTAGCGTAGTGACTGCATCTGTTTTCCTACGCAGCTGTCTCCTGCTTGATCGTATCGCTGTCTTTTGCTTCCTCCGTCGGGCTTTCTTCGGCTTCCTTTTCTTCCATCTTCCTCCCCTTGGTCCAACTCCTCC